CGTCAAGTCCATGGAGCCAGCCAGCGGCGTCCGGCTTGCCGGGAACGCCGCCCACGCTACACGCAGCCCCCAGTCGCCATCGCCACCAACGAAACGACCATGTCCCGCGTCGAGGAGTTCGCCCACGGCCCGCCAACGCTCCAGCGCGACGATGCTCAGCCTGCCCCTGAGCCGAGAGGGAACGTGCCAACGAGGTCATCTCGGCGCTGGGGGCACCGTGAGAGCCACCAGGAAAGGGGGCGGCGCCAGCCAGCAGCGCGGCTTGCACTTTCGGGACAGTCTGAGGCGAGAGTCGAGGAGCCCTGTCGCTTGTGGTCTGACGAGGAGTGGAGCGAAGGGGAGGGCCTGATGGAGCCGCGCGTGCAGCGACAAGCCCAAACCGTCGATAGCGGCCGGTGCACTGAGCGGCGATGTCACATGGGGGGTCGCCACAGCGGAGGCTAGCCTGGGCACGGACTGAGGGCGTCATGGAGAGCGCGGAGACGAGCGATGGAAGGGATTAAGGTTGCCGAGGGTCGACAGGGGCAACTGCCGCTTATTGGAGGGGATTTGGTGCGCTTACCAGGTTGTCCAGGATGACACGGAGGAGGTCCGCCGAGTACAACTTTGGGGTGTCCAGCTCGCGCTGTGAGACAACCACCTTGTTGGTCCGATCCATGGTTCCACGAGAGAAGGAGAGATGACGCTTCATCGTCCGATGAGTGGATGGCTGGTGACCGACCGATTGGATTCGGGCGGCCACCACATTCTCCCGCCAACGTTCCAGGCAAAAGGCGAAAGCGATCCGAAGTGCCGGACGCGAGGCTCAATTCCAACCCTTCACAAAAATTCGGAAGTCTGTTGGGAAGGGTTGACGATTTCTCTCACGGAGGAAGCCGCCCACGCCGGCACGCCCCCAGGAGTTCAGGCAAGTTCAGCTTCTCCACCACGGCCTCGCTTCTCCCCGCATTCTGCCCAGTCCGCATGGCCCACATCCCCGGACTCTTGGAATCTTGGAGTCTTGGAGTCTTGGAAGTTCGTGGACTGTGTAAGTGGCGCCTGGGCGATCAGGGTCCGACGATCCCCCAATGTTTCGATGATCTTTTTCTTGTCTCTTGCCTTGTCGTTCGTTACGGGCGCGCCCAGACCTGAGGCTCAAGGGCCAGAATCTTCTTTCCAGTCGATTGGGACGTAAAACCGGGGAGCTGGAGTTTTCCAATTTGGGTATATTGCGGCCGCAATGCTTGACCTTCTGGGCGCGACGCAATCGGCCTCTTGAGCGCTGATCACCAGGTGCAACCAGGAAAAGGGATTGAGGAGAATGATCAGAATAGCCTGAGAAGGGGGGAAGTAACCCGCAAATCACACTCCGCTGTCCCTTGAATAGGCTTAGCGCGTGTAACCCAGGACGGATTGGGGTGGGACTCGCTGGTTCTGGGCCCCCTGGCCACTTCCAAGCCGCGAGAAGAAATCACAAAAGCATCATCCGCGTCTTCCTTCGATTCCATAGCATACACGGCATGGCATGGCATGATTGCGGAGACTCGTCCCTTCTCCATGCCAAGCAGGCCAAGTCTCCGACCTTGGCTCAACGGCTTTCGACGTCGGTAGTCTCGTTTCTGCCCCACGCCGTTGTGCTCCACCTCGTACTCGTCATGCTCTGGTAAGCCTCCTGGGATAGCTGTTTTGCGGAAAACATCGTGGGTTGTTGAGAGGAGTCAGGGCCTCAAACCAAGCCAACAACATACGCGCGTAATTCTCTTTTTTTTTTTTTCTTCTTTTTGCCTCCAAAGGCACAGTCTAGGTTATTTACGCAACCGAGTTTCATCGCGAGGAGGCGTGACTCCGCGTGAGCCCTGAGGCAGTTTTTTCGGATTATTTCCCCGCCAAAAGGCGCTTGCATCTGCAGCTCGATCCACAAGCCTCTTCCTTCATTTTGTGCCGCGAGATCCGTCGACGGAATCACCACAA